GGCCAAAATGATTAGAACACTAGTATCGTCACCGGCTAAAAATGTTTTAAGTCAGTTGTTTCTATTTTTTGCTGAATTGTGTCAGTAGGAAATATCAGTTCACATTTCCAAACATTCATTTTGCCATTAATTGTAATAATCCAGTGAGATTTTTGTTTGCACAAGGAGTCTGACAACAGCCAGTGCTCCACACAGAGATCTGATCTCATTCAGTCTGTCTGGAATGACATGAAGAAGCAGAACAAACTGAGACAGACTCAATCCAGAAGAACTGTGGCAACGTCTCCAAGACGCTTCAAGAAACCTACCTGCGAAGCTACAGTGCTGTTAAAAGTTTTAGGCACTTGTGTAAAAATTCTGTAAAATGGGGATGCTGTCAAAAATAACGTCATAAATAAATGTTCTTTATCAATTAACTTCTATTAACTAAATTAAATCAACATTTGGTGTGACCATCCTTTGCGTTTAAAGGATGCAGCTTTTGCCCTAGGTGCACTTGCGCATAGTTTTCCAGGTAGCTTTGCAGGTAGATCTCTTGAAGCATCTTGGAGCTGTTGCCACAGTTCTTCTGGATTTAGTCTGTCTCAGTTTGTTCTGTTTCTTCATGTAATTCCAGACAGACTGGGTGATGATGAGATCAGATATCTGTGTGGAGCACTGGCTGTTGTCAGACTCCTTGTGCAAACAAAAATCTCACTGGACTATCACAATAAATGGCAAAATGAATGTTTGGAAATGTAAACTACAAGTGTTTTTCTACAAGTGGCATACCTCATTATTATTGTTTCCTAATGAGGATTTACACTTGATTCTACACATTGCACATTTTAGTACAGAAGCCTGAAAGACTTTCTTGACTATTAACATAAATTGTCATCAGATTAACTGATCTCATGTGTGACTTGATATTTTTTTCCAATTATTTTTTTTCTTTATTATTTAAAAAAAATTAACAAATAAAGTGTGTGTATTTATTTATTTGGATGTGTCAGTTGGGGTATAGGATGTTTACTTTTCAGATAAATGTTCATGTTATATATTTTGGTTGCATTTGTGAGTTAATAAAAATGTAACTATTTGCGTAAAATAGCCACAAAATATAATATTGATTAGGGGTGTAACGATTCAGATTGTTCACGGTTCGGTTCGGTTCAGTTCAGTTCACGGTTTTAGGGTCACAGTTCGGTACGGTTGGACTATGGTCAAATAAAAATAAAGAAAACAATAACAAATAATCAAACTAAATGCAACAGCACAAATAAATACAATAGAGCAAAGATACAAATAAAATAAACAGTGTTTTTCAGGTGTTTTAACAGTAATTTCAGGCACAGAAATGTAAAAGTAAACAAATGTAAAATAACAGTGCATATTTCACTGTATAAATTAAAGACCATTCCTTGTTGAAGTTACAAAAGCTATTCAATCAAGAGAAGTGAGTGATTTCCTTGTCTTTTGTTGTTTAACATTAAAAACATTAAAAAGCTGGAATAGACTGCTGTTCCTTTAAGACATAATTCACAGATTCAGTACACTAATGCTGATACCGTGATACGTATGGTGGCTGGTATTGCAGTTTTTCGGTTCGGTTTGAATATTGTTACACCCCTAATTTTGAAATATCGAACGATATTCCCCTGAATCGAATTGTATCATAATCATATCACTGAATTTTTTGAGGTATTGACAAATATTGTATTACTGGCATGAGAAATTATATCAGACCGTATCATGATAAACCGTCCAATATACGCCCTTACTCAATGCGTGTTTTATGAGAACACAAATGTGCGTAATGACAATGTAAACATTGAAACTTCCTAACCATAAAATAAGATTTTAACTTCAGCAGATCTGCACAGTGCTCAAACAACACATTTTTGGCACAAACACTAAAACTAAAAACTTTCGGGACTGGAATAATACTACGGAAAAGAAGATTTCTTGCCTCCCACTGCCAGCAGCTTACGGAGACGGGAAAACCTAGCTGCCTACATTTCAAACAGATGAGAAAGAAAATGCCTCGTGGAATCTACTTGCTGGATGAACTTCCACAGACTTCTACAAAGGATTGTGGTTCTTGAAACAAAGTTACTTACTGGACTTCCAAAACAGGCGGAACACACAGCAGAGCATCATCACAGACCCCTTCAGCATACACCCGGCGAGTCCTGTGAATCTCAACAGTTTATACCGAGTGTAGAGGAACAAGCTGAAAGTTATTGACACGCTAATCAATGGCACAAAGAGGGAGCAAGACCAAAAGTCACTGGAGACATCAGATTGTCACTAGTATCTCATATTGCCGCAGAATCATCCTCTACACCAGATACAGCTATGACAAGGCTTGTGAACACTGGTATTCTACTATCTCCTATACATCTTGAAAACAGATTTGAAGCATTAATGAATTTGGGTGAGGAATCCCCAAATGTGATTGAACATGGATTGTATCAGCCAGCAGCTAACATCGCTACTAACAGGCGCTCAAGATTGATCAGACAGCGGTATTCAGTTCAGAGCACAGCCTAGCTCTATTAGGGATGTCAATTTTCGATCATTTCCATGATCGATCATTGTTTAAATTAACGATCAATTGTTCGATTAATCGTTAACCTTAATGCTGCAAAATGCGTCTATTGCAGCGGCACGCAGTCGCCGGTGTGACCGGATGTGCAAAAGCCACTCAAAACCCCCCCCCGCTTTCTCAACCGAATTTAAGGGGTTTTAGTCTGAATAAAATGCTAGTAGCAGGATTGTAAAATGGATAGATGTGATTATGATCATTTGTCAATTTCTGTCCTGTGTCCCGCAGCCCTGCAAAGCGCACGATATGAAACAATTATCTAGGGAAATTAGTTACAACATTTCTATTGCTTTCCATGTTGAAAAACTTTGTGTTCTATTTTAATGTACTTTTAAAGTTTAAATCACATTAAAAGCTTAATTTGTACATTATGAATGAATGAGTGATGATGCATTTATATACCGTCACTCACAGCTGCTCGCACGTGTTTTGGGCATGAGCCGCACGCAACCCAAAATTAAATAGCTTAATTGACCATCGTTAGCTTTAATCGATTGCATCGCTTATCGACAATTAATCGATCATCGATTAATCGTTGACATCCCTAGACTCTATGTCACGGAATGCCAGGAGAAAACAAGGTAGATCCAAATGCAGTAGTTTATTAAAGTAACTAAGAATCAGAACACGCCAAGGCGGGGCCGGCAGGATAAACCAGCAAGGCCTCAACCACACAGGAATCCCAGCAGATAGCCAGGATGGAGCCAGAGGAATGAGCCAGTGAGGCTCCTGCCAAACAGGAACCCAGGCGGGCAACCAGAGCAGAGTCGGAATCCTGCCAGGCAACACTGGTGTGACAGAAAACCCTCTCAGCGACTCAAGGAAAACTGTAAACAAGAGCAGAGAGAGTTTAGTACCAGCCTCGACGGCTGCAACAGGACAGGCCGATTGCTCAAAAACGGTCCCTGTGAGCTCCCGGACTGGAGCGGGCTCTGGAGTGGACCCCGTGGGCTCCCGGACTGGAGCGGGCTCTGGCGTGGACCCCGTGAGCTCCCGGACTGGAGTGACTTCCTTAATGACCTCTGTGGGCTCCCAGACTGGAGCGAGCTCTGAAGTGGACTCTGTGAGCTCCCGGACTGGAGCGGGCTCTGGAGTGGACTCTGTGAGCTCCCGGACTGGAGCGGGCTCTGGAGTGGACTCTGTGAGCTCCCGGACTGGAGCGGGCTCTGGAGTGGGCTCTGTGAGCTCCCGGACTGGAGCGGGCTCTGGAGTGGGCTCTGTGCGCTCCCGGACTGGAGCGGGTTCTGGAGTGGACTCCGTGAGCTCGCGGACTGGAGCGGGCTCTGGAGTGGACTCCGTGAGCTCCCGGACTGGAGCGGGCTCTGGAGTGGACTCCGTGAGCTCCCGGACTGGAGCGGGCTCTGGAGTGGACTCCGTGAGCTCCCGGACTGGAGCGGGCTCTGGAGTGGGCTCTGGAGTGGGCTTTGTGGGCTCCCGGACTGGAGCGGGCTCTGGAGTGGGCTCTGTGGGCTCCTGGACTGGAGCGGGGTCTGGAGTGGGCTCTGTGGGCTCCCGGACTGGAGCGGCCTCTGGAGTGGGCTCTGTGGGCTCCCGGACTGGAGTGACTTCCTTAATGACCTCTGTGGGCTCCCGGACTGGAGCGAGCTCTGAAGTGGACTCTGTGCCAAAAGGTCTGGGCAAAACCACTAACCTCCATTCCTTGCTGCCTCCAAGCCATCAGAGTCCGGTATCGAACCATTCGCTCCTTCCCTGTGGCAGGAGGGACAATCCGAATGTCCATATTTCAAAAAGGGAAAAAGAAAAACAAACTGTTGGATCTTGTAGTGGCTGCAGTATTCTGTCACGGAATGCCAGGAGAAAACAAGGTTAGATCCAAATGCAGTTTATTAAAGAACAAATAAACAGAACAGAACAGAACAGAAACGTGGCAAAGGGAGTAATCCAAAACACAGGGAACAGAAAACACGATGTAACCTCAAACAATACTGCAGCAAAGACAGACAGAGTGCGCATGGTATAAATAGTGATGGGATGATGAGTAAATTACTAACAGGTGATCATGATCAGAACAGAACGACAAGGCAAAGGACTATGGGAAACAGAGTTCAAAACATGTAACAAAGAAACAGGAAGAGCGCCCTCAAGTGGCCAGTCCAGGGCACCACAACCAGACACCGTGACACTCTATAATAAGCAACATCAGTAGCATGACTACAACTACATGCTGCTTTAATCAAGCAACCGTTTCTGATGTGAACAGGGAATTTCAGAACAATTCTAATGAAGCACAAGACTG